TAAAGCAAAAACGAGCATAAGCATTTTGCACTCGCTGTATGGCACGTTTCGTTTTCTCCAGGAGTCTCGGTCCATATACCGCGATTCAACTAGTAACTGCCTAACTTTTCTGATAAGTATTTAATCCGGGTATAGCAGCTTTAGACGATAAAATGCGTTTCTAATTTTTATATTATATAAGATCGGCAGTAAACGTACCCAAATAACTTATTTTCTGCCATGTACCACTAACAATGTCTCATATAATGATCCTTTTGTAAAAACTTTTCTAAAAATTTGGACTTATTCTCCCATAGTCGCTATACTTATTTAAATATTTGTAAGGAGAAGCTGAATATGTTGGATATTTTAGAATATCATTGTTTTTATGTACGTGTAACATGATTTTTTGCTATTGTTTTTAAGTGCAATTTATTTATTATGTTTAATAGTCCGTCAATTTGTAAGTTCTTTATTTATTTCGCAAATGCCGAATGTGGCTGTATACAAATACAAATTTACTCCTATTGTAATGCATGTTAACTTAAAGCATCTTCACACTTTGTATCCTGTAGCTATGCCAAAAATTAATATTAATGTATAAATCGAAACTCACTGTCCATTATTAGGCCCAAGTTCCTGTCATTATATACCAGTTCGATATTGTAGTTTCCCACAGTAATAAGATTATAACTTAGGAAATGAAACTATTTTTGCCGGATTTAAATCGACTATATTTGTTTTTCTTGTTGTTTGTTTGTTTTATGTTTCATTTCCTATGTGTAACAATCGCGAAAACCTAAGAACTCGATAAGATTATAACTTACAATTTTCTCCCCCTGGACTCTCGTACCTGCTACTAGGAACTTTGATTTACTTGCATTTAGCAGTAGCGCATTCTGTTTTGCCCACTGGCAAATATTTCGTATATCCGCGTTGATACTTAAGTAAGGCAGTATCAGTATTTGTAGGGGAAAAGGACCGGTAGAGTTGCGCGTCGTCTACAAAGAGATGAACCCTGCTATGATATACCTCTTTTGGAAGATCTGCTGTAAAAAGAGCAGATTTAGCCGTGGGGCGACGGCTTAAGAATACATTGTCGCCTCCCCATACATGCCCGTGGGGGTCGTAAGAGGCGACCGAGGGCGTCACAAGTGTCCATCTGCTTAGCATTGTGGTAGGCTCTGTGCCGACTGGATAGCGACCACAGTACACACGGCGGAAAACCCTCCACAGTGAAACGCTTTTGCGAATCGCGTTCAGGGATCAGTTGGTGTACATCCAGTGCATTTGGCCAGACCGGCAAAATGATAGTGACGGAGTGAAGATATTTGTGTTTTCCATCCGTTACTCTCATCTCTGGACTGTATTCGCACTTTCCATCAGGCGCGGTGCAGTCATTTTGTCGAGTCGCAATAAAAAAAAAAAAAAAAAAAAAAAAAAAGAAAATATCGGGCTCAGAATGAGCCCTGTGGCGTCAGCATTACTGTGTTCTGGTTTTGAAGGGTAAGGGTGCTGGTGAAATTACAGGCACATGGGACTTGTCGACTTATGTCTCAGGGTGCCGCGCGCAATGGCAGTGCCCCTCGGTTGTTTGTGATTTAAAGCTCTGAGTGTTACTGCAATTGTTAAGGACAGGCGTGTCCCTTACCACCAGGTACACGACTTGTTCGTCCCGTCACTTATTATTATAAAAAAAAATCCCGAAAATTACCAAAATACAAATGCGTTATAACAAGAAAGGCAGTACGACACGTATTGTTTGCCGGTTCTTGAACACCAGTCTCTAGCCACGGTCAACCGTGCAATACCACATCTCCCATTTAAAAATTCAAAATTTATCTTTTATGCCATGTGAGAGGCGAGAGTGCAAAATAGATAATAATAATAAAATCGCTTTTTTGACTGAACACATGAATAAACAATATAAAGTACCTTAATTACACATGAGTACCACATGGTAGATAGTGGTGTGAGATCACCGAGTATATAACCAGAAATACAGACGAATTAAGGGTCAGCCATCTCTGGCAACTCATCAGGTAAATGGGCCTTATATCACTTAAATATCAACTCTCGTTTGCGCTGAAATTACAAATTAGAAAGCTGAAATAGTACAGTGCCAACAAATAACCTGCGTGTACGTCTCCGTATATTCCAAAAATATTATGTATTTATTGTAATAAAGATAAAATCTCTAACAATGAGGGGCTGTTCCATTCGGTGGTGTGGGGAAAACAGCAAAACATCTAATTACAAAACAAACAGAATCACTTTTCATTTTCCAATTTTCGTCCAAAATACCAAAGCTCAAGTTAAACTGGTTCATTTGAAGTGAAACAATTGACGACACCCGTCAAACCATTCGAATTCGAACTGGCCAATCAGAGCGCCGTTGTAACCGTAATGATTTGGCAGAATAGTTTTCAAACAAATGAAATGACATTTCGCCTCTATTTCTTGTTATATTAATCGATGTGCAAGATAAAGTGGCTAGTAAAATGGCGGAGAATTTACAGCGTCGCTGATATATGCTTTAAAGCAATATTCTAACTTGCACGTCGTTCAGACTCAAAATTGCTATACACAGTAAATTTATAAAGAGCGAGCATAGCTTATTGAATTGCAGTACACCTATTAATAATATCATCATCATCATCAACCCATTTATACGTCGAGCTACTGGGCACGGATCTCCGAGCGAGTGTTTAAGGACATAGTCCGTCACGCTGGTCCAGCGCGAGTTGAGAACTCACACGTTGTTATATGACGTTTTACTTCCATATAGCTCATGGTACGCACATAAATTCCAAAAAACTTAGAGGTTAGAGCCTGGATTCGAACCCACGGCCTTCGCTTTGCTACTACGGTTTTTTATTATTAAGCTTGGGTATAATAAAATATAATATATACTTTACGAATTTCCACATCCATCTAGGTACTCTGTTTATGTATTGTGTTGGCTATCCATTCTAAATAAATATTTAAATAAATACATAATACAAATTACAACATAGATTTTTATAAATTATCATAATTATCAAAATGGAGCTGCCGCGCTCGTACGAAAGCTGTTGTCCGTTACAAAAGTACTGCAATTTCCTTTCAATCAATAATTCCACCCTTGTAAAAAAACCTCATCGCTGAAGCCCAGGGCGCGTATATATTTCCGAAGGAATCAATCTTCTATTGTCGTTCAAAATGGCCACCCTAAGTATAAACGATTGCCTCAAAGGTGAAACGACACTTTTTGCGGCAAATGTACACAAAAGTCTCGTTCCGAAAACCTAATTGATTTATAACTTTTCCCTCTATAACTAAAGCTGTAATTTAAATGATTAGGAAAGTTTGTTATGTAGGCTTAAGTACTTATCTATGAATTAACCAATTAAGGGTCTGGGCCCGTATTACGCTGGTTTCCCACGGCCTGTGATCTCAAACGGGCGAGCTCGCGCCAGCATAGGCCAGTCCAGGCAACCTCGGGCCGATACACGAGGCCGCGCGTATTCGGTTATATGGCGAAAGCTTAGACCGCGCATACTCTGAAGTAACCGTCCTACAGCGAATCCGAATAGACCGCCATCGCCATGGGAGAACACGAGCGCGCTAGGGCGGCCCTCTTCCAACGGCGCGTCGCGTCGGCACGTGCTCGCGCGGCGCGACCCGTGTGAAGCCGCCTTAATTAATTCATCATAAAAACAGTCTTTACTTACAAATATCATCTGATTGCACGTTAACGATGACTCATTAAGATTACCCCTAATTGCAAAATAGTTGTCAAGATTGCCATGCTATTAATAACTGTCAGTTAGCACTTAGGTTCAATTTACATAGCTGAGGAACGGAATGGAAGGGGACTTTTGTAACGAAATAGTATATAGTATAATGAACTTGTCTTTGTCAATTGTACAACGTACAAACTAGTTACAATTTTAGTAGCAGTAGAGTTTCCTGTGTAAGAGTTCATCCAGGAAAATACTGTCACATTACCTATTTCTGCCGCCAAGCAGTAATGTGAGCATTACTGCGTTCCGGTTTTGAAGTGTTGGTGAAATTACTGGTACGTGGGACTTATCAATTTATGCCTGAGGCTGACAGGCGCAGTGGCAGTGCCCCTCAGAACACTGCAGTTTAAAGCTCTGAATGGCACCGCAACTGTTTTGGATAGGCGTGTCACTTACCATCAAGTGCACAACGTATTCCTCCTGTCACTTGGTATCATGAAAAAAATATTTCCATCATGGTCATCGTTTATCCACCCACCCGTTATGCGTCCCTTTGCTGGCCATGGATCTCCAGGCTTCTAATCTTTGTTTTTTTACTAAACATTCGTAAATGTACTTCATTTAGAAGTTAAAGCCATATGTCCATGTCGCCACTGGGAATTGAACCATCGACCTTTCAATTGAAGATAAAACCCATCTTCCCCCTAAGCTACTACGGCATAATTATTAATTCTTTCCATAGGAGGACATTTTCAAAGCAGGTCTCTTCCGAAATGTCAACATAAAGGAAAGATTTACTGCGTGAAAATAATTAAATATCAATTTAAGTCAACGTCAAAGTTTGATATTAAGATCCGTTGTAATCCCATTTTTGCAGTTCAATCTAACTTTGACGGAAAAGTCTACCGTGAATTTTTTGTACTATGACCAATTTAACTGCGGTCATGGCGTTGGCACTGACTTTCCATGGAAACCCGTTAACTATCGCTAGTCACGGCTGAATGACTTAAATTGAAAACAATTGCAGCATTGCCAGAGAAAAGGGCTCTTGGGCTTTTATGACATCCATCACAAATCGCAGTGTTATGATTAAAATCATTGAACTAAATAAACAAAAATTTTTGGTTATAATTATCATAATGCCTCGTTAAGAAGTTTCGTTTAGGAAAAATAACCTTTTTTATCAGCATATAACCCACCTGGTGTACTTGAGACGTCGTGATTATGAAGCAGTGTAAGTACTGTGAGGAATAATGACGCGTCACTACTCTTTTTGCGTGCAGGTAACGGCGGCGGTGGCGGTCGGTAGCGGCCGGGTGGGCGGCTTGTTTTGTCAACCAATGGCGTTTGAGAGGTAGATCATATTTTTATTATTGTAGATGACGCACTAAGTTAAGTAAACTAAATATTTACGTTATTTAACAACACATAGATATAATATGCAGAGATGGGCAGTGGGTTAAAACCCAATCGAGCCGGGTATTTACACTAAGTGCCAGGTTTTAACCTATTTCTGCCCAAAATCCTGTGCGGAGCGGCGAATATGGAATTTGGTATCATTCCATATTAATTATAAATTTCAATTTTTTTAACCGACTTCAAAAAAGGAGGAGGTTCTCAATTCGACTGTATGTTTTTTTTTACTTACCGATTTTGATGATTCTTTTTTTGAAAATCGATTCAAGTATATACGATCTAACGTTTTTTTTGTATCGATATATTTCAATGCGATTATTTGCTATTCAATAGAAAGCAAAGAAAATCGATCGACTCGCCTAGATCAGAAGGCTATAAACATTTTGTAATAATATCATAAAATTTGGAAAAGTCGGAGGAAAGTCGCCTCCTTTTGAAAAGTAAAAAAGTGAAAGTCGTGGTTTCATTGATTCCATCCCCAATAATCATTAACAAAAAGTTTTCACATAAAGAAAACGGCTTTATATAACAAAGTCAAAGGCTACGTCCAAACTCCGTTAGCAAACAACATTGTTTTGAAACTGGAAAGGTTTCAATTTTGTTGATAGTACCTATCACGCAATCTATCAGCAGGTCATTTAGTGACCTGCTGATAGATTGCGTGCCTGCACATTGCACCCAGGTCTGGAATATTTTACAGGCGACAATGTACCATTAAAGAGATGATCGTATGTTTGAATTAGCACATTACTTAGTAGAATTGGAGCTCCTTGTGAATGGGTTCGTTCAGGGAAGTACTGCCACCTTGCCTATTTCTGCCGCCAAGCAGTAATGTGACCATTATTGTGTTCCGGTTTTGAAGAATAAGGGTGCTGGTAAAATTACAGGCGCATGTGTCTTGTCAACTTATACCTCAGGGTCAGCGCAGTAAATTGTTACTGCCTCTCAGATATTTGAAATTTAAACTCTGCATAGCAATTGTTAGGGGTGTCATGCAGGACTCGCGTAATTAAATAGAAGGGTCGGTCCAAAATTTTATATTAGAAATAAAGAAAGAGTACAGGAAGGGACAAGGACGGGTAAAGTAAAGGCGTAAAGACAATAAAAAAAACCAATTATAACGTAAAAGCAGGTAAATCGTATAAAAATGGGGTAAACTTAAATATAAGTCATGGTAAAAAAGGATCTTACCCCCAAAAGGGCCAGTAATTTCTAGAAATACTATTCTTTATAAGCAGTTACCTACGTTACATGATTTAACTATTCAGAATTTCAAGTGAAGTCGAGCACGTAAGCTCGCTTCGGAAATTTTGTAGAGAGTGGCGATGTAAAGAAGAAAAGTAAATGACGAAAAAGAAAAAGGAATTTAAGACGATTCAAAATTTCAAAGTAGGTGGCCAGGATCCAGATTAAAGGGAGATAAAAAGGCAGGATGACGGTGAAAGAGGTCGCACCGTCATATGGGTAAGCGTCCCTTACCACCAGGCGCACGACTTGTCCGTCCCGTCGCATGGTATCAAAAAATACGTCTTTAAAATCAACAATCATACCGTTCAGAAGAGTAATAAATTTATCTTGTGCTTTTCTGATATGAAAAGGTCCCCTTTATTTTACAACCACATTAATTTTAAAACCAGGCATCGTCCACTTAAACTGTTCAAACAAGTTGTTATTATATATGTAAACTCATTACGGTACTATTTGAATCTGTCTTGTCAGTTTTTTGCGTACATTATGGTTAGCATTAGTCAGCTTGTTAAGGAAATAATTAAATGAGAATTTTGTTTATGTTAACTTTTAAAAACCTAATAAAGTTGCGTAGGCACGTTAATTCTATTGAAATTATAAGTGCCAATCAATCATCTATTTTTTAAACTTGTCTAGTTTTTAATATAATCTCGGTACAATAAATACACTGTTCAAATGGGGAACTAAAGTGAAGAACACACGTCAGCCTATAGCAATAGCTCTCGGGCAAACTTTTCTTTCCAACAACGCGTTAGTGATGATCCAGTGACATAACTCTCTCAGTGTAAAGTTATAAACCATTTAATTTAAACCATAAAAAAATAGACATTAAGGTTTTGTGCCTCAGAGGATATTTCAAAGAGACGCGCCGTTCAATAGTATTGTTTGTATGCACTTTGAAATCAATTTCAATCAATTAGTAGCAGTAGAGCTCCTTGTTTGACAAAGAGTTTGTCCAGGGAAGTACTGCAACTGCAACTTTATCTATTTCTGCAACCAAGCAGTAACGTGAGCATTTACCAATTTGGAAGGGTAAGGGTGCTGCTGAAATTACAGGCACTTGAGACTTGTCAGCTTATGTGAGTGGCACTTCATCTGTTATGGATAAGCGTGCCGCTTACCACCAGGCGCACGACTTGTGCGTCCTGTCACTTATATGTATGTAAACACTTTATTGTTCAACAAAAACAAATTACAAATTTTTCAACAAAGAAATAGGACGTTATTGTACAAAAGCGAGCTAATCCCATAAAGGGATTTCTTCCAGCATTTTGAATAATTGAAATGAAAGTAGGCTCCTGGATCGGTAATAAAATCTAATAAGTCAGGAAATTGAATGCTACATACCTACTCAATAATTAAAGAATAAATTTATTATATCAAACGTACACACGAGTACATAATATTAAATAAATGATCACACACTAATAAATATAAAATATATAATAAAATGAATAATAATAATAATAATAATAATAATAATGATAAGTTTATTTTTCTCACCACAATATACAAAATACATTGGCATAATATCCAAAATAAAATATATAAAACAATAAATTATACTGTGGGAGACTGGTGCCTAAACTAGACGTATGATTTGTATTTCAGGTCACCAGGACTCCACCCCTTGGAAGATACTTGTTATTTTGAAATATGTACCAGTACATTGACAATTGTAGTAACTAACTTATCTATATATTATGTATGATCTATATATAAGAATGTATAAAATAAGACTATAAATAAATAAGTGAAATAGTAAATAAATATTTTGTAAGCTCTAACACGAACACTGGTATTATAAAAAAAAATTAAGAAATCCATTTTCGCATATTGTTGATTTTGGAGCGTGTATGGTGGTTCATGAACTACCTCGAATCGTTGACCAGACCCAGCAGTATTCAAGTCCAGCTGTATTACAATGTTATAATTTTCGTAGCAGTAGAGCTCCTTGTGAAAGAGTTCGTCCAGGGAAGTACTGCCACCTTACCTATTTCTGCGTTTCGGTTTTGAAGGGTAAGGGTGCTGGTAAAATTACAGTCACGTAGGACTTGTCAACTTATGTCTCAGGGTGACAGGCGCAGTGGCAGTGCGCCTCAGATCTTTGCGATTTAAAGCTCTGTGTAGCACAGCAATTGTTACGAACAGCCGTGTTGCTTACCATCAGACGTACGACTTGTTCGTCTCGTCACTTGAAATTATAAAAAAAAATTACTTACTTACCTACTGACATTTTATTTGCGTTATACTTCATGACTTTTTTTATATATAATCTTGACATGAATTTGTTATTATTTAAGTATTTGTACTTTTTTATGTATTTCGACCTCAGCAACTATTGCGTCTATTTATACAATGTGTTTGTGTAATAATGAATTATGAACTGGAAATGTATGGGCGTTTGCTAATTTTAAAGCAATTTTTAATGTGATAAAATTGAATTAACTTTAATTTACATTGAGTCATACTTAACCGGATTCTACCAGTTTTTATCCATGCTTAACGAGTGGGTGGAGTGACATCATAAATGATCATCGTTCATTTACTATGACCACTGACCACTGACTTGCGAATTCCGATCGCATAGAATAGACCACTTGTGCTTTTTTATATGATAAGCGAGAATAAGATCTTAATCAAAGTAAATTCTTTTATCTACATACATATAATAAATCCTCTATGATGTGTGCAAAAACTGCAAATTGCGACCAGCATAAAGATAAACTGTTTTGTTAGAACAAATTTCTTAACTGTGAAAATGTTATTATTGCTTCATATTATCATCAAATTCGATTTTATCATTGACTTACAATTATATGGACGTCGGGTCCACGCTAAAAAGTGTCCGCACTTGTAAGGCGCTAAAATCGTATACAGAGCGCGACACTCCGCTTTAGTCTTCATTTGTTCTACGGACAGCGCGATACTGCGATGACATAACAATTTAAATTTCGAATAGGTTGACTTGGGACATTTTTTTCGTGGTTTTTGTATTAGACCCGTCGTCCATTTATTTGTAAGTCAATGGATTTTATTATTACATTCAAATTTCGAACATCTCTGAAAAACAAAACAATTTGGTTCGACCTCAATTCTAATATCAGTCGAGTCGAGATGAAGCTCTATTCGAAATGAAACGTCAATAGTAAAATTGTTATTTTGACAAATTTCACACGTTACTTGATATCGAACGATATGATATTTTACCAACTCTAGTTTGTCTATGAATTTAAAAAAACTACAGTTGCGTGACGTGCTTTAGAAAAGTTTTTATTTGCCGCAATTTCGTCAGCCGTAACATGCGGTTCCTGAACACATCATATAGAGTTTATAATATGTGTATAGATAAAGCAGTGTATGTAACTGTACATAATTAGGCATTAACACACTCGTGTTTTAATGACTTTCATTATGTAACGGTCGCATAAACTACTATTAATAAATAATCTTTGTATTTTGTAGTTCAAATGTATTTTAAAACGCAAAGCGAGGTATTTCAACGTGAGCCTAGATTTAAGATGAAGCGTGGGGGTCGCACCTCGCTTCCCGTAATCCGCACGCTGTGATTTTATATCAATAAAATAAGAACAGACGGAGGAAATATGACACAGATCCGATGTCGACAAGCGCCCGATGGCGACTGACGGGGCAGTGGGGCGCGCCGTGTCGTTAGACCGCTGGGCAATT